TGGAAACCAATTGAGTGACCTTCAGCAAATCCTACTCTCTCAACTTCAGAAGAAGTCAAAAGCAAAAACTGCTCTGATCAACTCTTGCCAAGAAAACTCTGTGATAAGTTTGCATTAGGATCACCATAAATCAGAAATGGCTTGAAGGCTCATAAGAAATGTCACTGGCCCTTTATAATAGTATTTAGAACTATAAAATCATACAAGGTTAGGAATGGAAAGGACCACAACAGCTATCTAATCAAACCCTCTGGCATGCAAGAACACAGAACTAAAGCATTCCTGAAAGATGCCCATTTAACCTCTTTTAAAAGACCTCCAAATAAGGAGACTCCACCAGTCTCCAAGGTAAATTGTTCCACAGTCAAACAGCTCTAACAGTCAAGAGGTTCTTCCTAATGTTAGATGCAATCTCTTTTCTTGTAATTTTTAATCCATTGGTTGATGTTCTAGTCCTTAAAGCAGTGGAAAACAAGCTTGCTTCAGATATTTAAAAATGGCTATCATGTCACCACTTGGTTTTTTTTCTTCTCCAGATTAGATATCCACAGTGCCTGAAATAATTCCTCATAAGGTTTAGGTTGCTGGCTTTTGAACATCTTGGTCACTCTTCTGGAAACAAAAGTTTATGTCTAATAACATCTGAACAACTGGCTCACTGGAAAATATTAAAATATTACTGATTTTGACAGCCTACCTCATAGGCTGTCAAAATCAGTAACTATACCACTCTACTGATTGCCTACCAGTGAAGGACATAATGCAAATTCAAATGGCATATACATTTTATTGTTACTATTTAGTTCAGAAAACAATATTTTATCATCTCTAATCAAAACATGATAAAGTTAACTTCATGCTAAAATTACAAATGAAACTCATTTAAATGAAAATTAAAGTCAAGAGGATTAAATTCAATTAAAATCACTTTGAAGTTACTATGGAAAATTTATTTCAGAGTGATACAAATCAACAGATTGTTATTGCTTTCATTTTCTCATGGGTAAAAGATTTCTATAGCAAGATGGAACCAAAATTATAGGTAAAGAAAAGTGCAGACAAAAGAATTTTGTGCCCCCACAAAATACATCCAGATCAAAATTAAAGGGTTTTGATAAATTTGTGTGTGTGGATGGAATCTTTTCTATATGTTTTACATAGAGAAAGCATGGCTGTGGTCTCATCTATGCCTTTTACTGGATGCAACAAAAACAGGGATTCAATTAAAATGTATCTTTGTTTCAAAATACATTTTAAGTATACATCTTTCCCTCCCTTTTCCTGATGGCATGATCTCAACAGATCAATTAACTTCAATAATCTATGGATTACAAGGCATATCAAACTTTCAAAGCATTGCAGTGTTAGATCTATTCTCAAAAGGGTTTAAATTACTTTAATAGTTAATAATAAGTGATATGACTCATTTTCTTGACTAAATTAGTATCAGTTGTCATTTGTTCCTTCTCTGTCTGAAATGCTTAATTACACTGAATAGGCTTCTCAATGCCCATTGTACACCTCTGCAGTTTGCCTTGTTTCTGAAGAGGTCAGTATTTCAACTTGTGCTTAGCTTATTTATTTCCCCCCCCCCCCTGAGGAAACCCATATGATATGAGAAGGACAGAACTGTAGCATAATTTCTAGCCTGGCAACTGTCAAAGCCCATTCAGAAAATATACAACCACCCTAAAGCATAGTTGTGGACCCATCTTTTATTGTCAATTGAGCTATTGATCATTCCAGATTCCAGCAGGCAGAGTGCTTAGAAATTCACTGATGTGTATACAAATATATGTATTACTAGATACCTGCAGCCAAAGAATCAGCTGATCATTTTGAATCAGCAGGTGACACCTAGTGCTGCTGTCTCTTCCACTGATATCTGATTTGTACCCTTTCCTCCTAAGTCCAGAAGCTTCAGGTGTTCCCCATCCCCTCTCATTTTTCTTCTTCCATCAGGAAAAGGAAACACATAACCACATCTGCACCCTACACTAGGTTTTCACTATTATTCGGTTTAGGTAAAACATCAAGGGAATCCCCATATTATTGATAAGATCCCATTGACCTATCCAATTTAAAGAAAGACTATTCAAATAATAACTATAAATATGGGATAATACTGGAGAATATTCTCAGATGAGGACTCAGTCTCTATGGAAAATGTACATTGGTTTTCTGTACAGAAAATAACATTTCTGTGCAGAAAAAGAAAAAAAAGGCAGGTAAGGTTTTCCATAGTGAAAAAAGCCATGATATTTGGAGAAAAAGCTGCTAGGCATTTTGTATGGCTCTGAGGGGGCAGTAAATGGACATCTTTTTCACTGGGATGTACCATTCATATTTAGAAAACTGAGAAAGCAGGAACTTGTTTGTTTGCTGTTTCTTTAATATCCCACCTTGCTCTCAAAACAGATGAAACTGCCTTACACTGACCACAGGCTCACTGAGCTCAATATAGACTGAAATCAACTGTCACCATTGGCTAGGAGAGCTAGGACTGATGGAAGTTCAATCCAGCAACACTCAGATGTCCACAGGTTGCCCATCCCTGATCTAAACTTTTTGATAAGAATGTCCAGTCTTTCAGACAAGGTTTTCCCAACATTCCCTGAAAATACATGAGATTACTTCCAGGGACTTCTGCCTGCAAAGCATGTGGTTTACCATGGAGTTTCAATTATTTGAGCATAGATCATTTTGTGGTTGTGGTAAATGCTGTTGTTGAGTGCCTTCAACTCATTTCCAATTTATGACAACTGTAAGGCAACCCTATCACTGGGTTTTCTGGGGCTGAGAGTGTGAGATTCACCCAAGGTCACCCAATGGGTTTCCATGGCCAAGTGTAGATTTGAACCCCCATACCCAGACTCCTAGTACACTCAAACCACTACACTGTGTTGCCTCTTGGTTGTGCTTATAACACTTTCTAATTCAGAAGGTGATTTGCAATCACTTGATGCAGTTGGAAGCTAAAGAGTTAATGGTAGTTTTATCTTTCATACCTCTCTGGATACCTAAAGAGGTGCCCACAAGCTTTGGTCATTGGGAGCAAAGAGCAAGTTACATATCATCTGGAATATTGTGTCAAGTTATGGACAATACAGTTCTAAAAGTTTATTGAGAAACTAGAACATGTTCAGAGGAGGGTGACCTAGCTGGTAAAGCCTCTTGAATTATTTAGCAAGCTGAGTATGTTTAGCTGGAGAGGAGAAGATTGAAAGGTGACATGATAGCTGTGTTTAAATATAAGAAGAGAAGTTATGTAGATGATGGAGCAAGCTTGTTTCCAGCTGTTTCAGAGACCAGGACACAAAGCAATGGATTCAAACTACAGGAAAAAAGACTCTGCCTAAACATTAGGAAGAACTTCTTGATTGTAACAGCTGTCTGACATTGTAATAACCTACCATGGAAGTTGAAGTTTGATGGCCATCATGCAGGAGTGCTTGTAGATTTCTGCATGGCAAGAGGGTTAGATTAGATGGCCTTTGCAGTCACTTCCAACTCAGTGATTCTATAAGTCTTTGAGTCCCTTTGAAAAATAGTTTCTGAAGGTTCCTCCTGGGTCTCATTACTTGGCATAGCACTGTTAAGATGTTAGAAGCATGTTTTTCCTACAAGCTCTGTGAACTTTGCAAACACACCGTGTGAACTTCTTGCATTGTGCTCTTGCACTCATTTTCTATGTATTAATTTGGTTTTTACTGCACTTTGGAAAGTGTTTGAATATTTATAAATGTAAGTATTTATTTTCCTAGTAAAATTAAAGCTCTATTGTCTTGCAACTAGCTATACTTGTTCTGACACTCGAGAAACAAAACCTTCTAAAGTATGATAACCTTTATTTATACATGGCAATAAGCATATTTAGCAATTTTATTATTCATGACCCTTGCACTAAATATCATAATCAGAATACAGATGTGCAGGATAATTTCCATGTGCAAGTCACTGTAGTAATTCCTATAGCACAAAAATAGCACTGGATTTAGAGACATAATATGCCCCTGTGTAATAAATGTGTTGTGGAAGAAACAAAGGGGGCTAGAAAATGGGCTAGGAATGGTCCTACTTTAATAACCAACTTCATAAATATATGGCTACCCCTAAATGCAAAGCAATTCTGTTCAAGAGCAGCACCTTTTGTTTGCTGCTTCTCGGATTCCCTTTGCATACACAGAATCTTTATTTATTGCACGGAGAAAATAAGCTGTGTCTTGTGTATGCATTTATTCCTTATAAATGCAATTTGAAGCATCCTTTATTATTTAAAAAAATAAAACACTCCATCTTAGTACTGCCTTTGCTTTTGTGGCTATGAAAGCAGAGTATAATCAAGTGAACATCATTTGCTGTTTTTGCTCACTGAACAAGAAGTGCTCACACCAGGTACATCAGTCTTGGGATGTTTGGGGCATTTGATCTGTGCAAATTCTAGTACTTATTGTCCTGATCTATACCCCTCCCAGACTTAAGTAGATGTGGGGGGATAGCTAAAATTCACAGGATTTTGCATTTGCTTTGATGCAGATCTGAGTGTGTTGGTTCCTGCATCATCTGTAACTTTATGATGTCAGAGCCACATCACTGACATGAGAGAGAACCTTATTAGAAAAATGTAGTGATGTACAATGGGGCACTATGCAAGATGTCCCATTCTGCAATTGGCACTCCCTACACACAGTGAGGCATCACAAAAGGTAGAGCATTTTTCCAGCCTGGCACTGGGCACCCATGATTTTCCACCCTTTGGCTCTGTTGGGGGCACTGTCTGCACTGACTGTTCTAGTTTTGCAATATTCCTGATGGTGCCACTCCAACAATACTCCCTTCCTGAGAATACTACCATTGTGCAATGCCTGATGCACAATTGTACATTGATTTGCAATGTTGTAAGTTCCTAACAAGATGCCAGACTATATTTCCAATGCAACGTTGGGGAGAAAATATTTAAAATTATGAATTGGAGAAAAAATATTGAAAAAATGAATTAT